GCTCTACACGTGAGTCTGCCCCAGGCCCGGGAAAGCCTTGGGGATGCTCGAGGATGCTCGGGGATGCTCAGGGATGCAGGAGCCCCTCCAAGGTGTCTCATCACGTCGTCGTAACCCACAAACTTTGGGTCTGTAAGGCCGCTTGGCTGCAATATAAAGCCCAGAGGCTCCGTTGGGGCTGGGGCTGGGCAGTTGTAGGGGGGATCGTGCCCTTGTTTTGCTTTTTGCTGCTTTTCGTTTGCTGAACCTCAACACGCTGGGGCTGCCCAGGGGAAGGAGCAACTCTTCAGATAAGTGCAGCTGAGTTCTTTTTTTCCTCTCCTTTACCCATTAAGCTTAACTAGATAAACACTCAAATGAGATAAGGCTGCAAAATCTAAAGGGATTAGCCTCGTGCAGGCTTTGCCAGGTGCCAAAAATTAATTATATTTTAAGCCTTCTATGCAAATTCAAGGGCACACCATGCAATTAGAGATGCAAAGAGGGGGCTGTGGTGGAACAAATGCATTTGTGATATTGCTCAGCCCTCCCTGGGTGTTTGGGCACAGTCTCTTGTGTGCCTGCTCCAGTGCATGGGTGCGAGTGAGCACCCATGGGTGCTGTGCCCTCCCTGCATCAAGCTGGTCCTTCCTCAGGAGCCCCCCAGCCTTCTGGGTGGGAGTGGGACACGGCGGGATGGGAGCTTCCCGGGATGGTGGCACTGGCATTTCACCGTGCTGTCACCCCGCGGTGCCAGCACCCACGTCCTGGGGATCGACATGGGTGTCCTGCCGTCCCTCAGCTGGGTGCCCACCCTTGGGAGGACCCAGGAGAGCGTGGTCCCATGGATGGGACATGTCCCATGGATGGGGTCCCCCAGGGAATCCCTTCAGACCTGCCTTGGTGGGAGGGTGCAAAGCCACCATGGCAAAGACGGGCAGCAGGGAAGGCAGGGATGGGGGGAGCCCTGCCTGGCCCTCTCCTGCCTGCAGCCTCCATCAGCATGGCGGGTATGGGGGGTACGGGGGGGCTGCTGTGGGCCCAGCGTTCCCCGACGGCTGCAGGATGAGTGCTGAGAGCTGCGGTATTTTGGGATCTTGGAGGGAATATCAATTTTAGGTGGGGGGAATATCAATTTTAGATGTACAAGGGACCCAAAAGCTGATGGCGGAGAAACTTGGCGCCGAGATACCAGGATGGGGAGATCTCAGCGGGATGCAGAGGTGCTGGGGAAATCCCCCTCCTCCCTTTCTGGGAGATGTTTATCCCAGTCCTGTATCCTCTGCAAAACCCAGCTGCACCCCCCAGCACTCCCCCAGTTGCCCAGGACCTGTTTTGGGGTGATGGCAGGGGGAGTTGGGGCTACACAGCTGGGTTGTGTGAAGCC